ATGTTGCTGATAAGTAGAGTTACTCATACATGGTACATTCAAAACAGAGAGAATTTCGTTTACTGTTGAGTAGCCAGTTCCTGTTGAAACTGCGGCCAACGCTAAATCACTATTAATATCAATTTCTCCTTCTATTTCATCTAGTAGACATATAGTTTTTTTAATATTGCACATTTTACATTTGAACACGATTTTGGATTTCAAAGCCATTCTATATTCATTAATTGGGTACATATCGCTAAATGTACAGTCGAATGGCGGATGCTTGGATATTTCCGCTATTTGTTTAAAAAAATATCCAATATCAACCAGGCGTCGTCCCTGTACGTCACTGAAAAAATTATATATGGGTATATAAAATAGGCATCTGTAAAAGATGGAAATAAAAATATTTCCTACATTTGTTCTCATAAATTACCTGTAAAAAACACTATTGATCCTTTCCGTATTTTCAATTGCTGATGTTTTACTAGACAGGTCTTTACTTTGTAATGGAACGTTTATTTCACTAAAAAATTAACAATAGGACGAATCATTTTTCACTATATATTAATTTACAGTGCGGACGTAAATAATCTCCCCCCTATTATCTTTTGAATGGATCGATATTTTTCAACCAAATTTAGGACTCTTCTATGGGACCATAAGTACTACTTTTTACAATACTTGTTTTCGTATTGACGTCATCTGCACAAGCGTGACGTCATTTGGAGAAAAAGTTAATTAGGGAAGTGGGTTATGTGACACTTCGTTTGAAAGTTATTTTAATTCTGTATCCAACAGTATATACATTTTTCATTTCAACTTAACGTTAGGGAAGATATGAGCATTTAAAGCATGGTATTTATTCTGTACTTTCAACTCACCTACGCAAGTTTAAAATGGACGTGCTATTAAATGCTGATTTTAACCACAACCAAGTATTGCATGAGCTGCTGAGGTGAAAGTACAGAAACAATGCCAATATTTAAATATATAAAGTGCAGGATACAGCATTAAAATACCTTTCAAACGAGGTATTACCTAACCTATTTCCCATTTAATTTTTTCCCAAATGACGTCACGCTTGTGCAGATGACGCCATAATGAAAAAAGGATTGTAAAAAGTAGTAGGTACGTATGGTACCTACGGTAGAAGTGTGCCAAATTTGGTTGAAAAACATTGATCCGTTCAAAACATAATAGGAGGGAGACTATTTACGTCCGCACTGTATACATTATATATATATATATATATATATATATATATATATAAAATTCAAACTAATTTATTGGGGGCAGCAGCAATATGTAATAAAGAAAACTCTTTAAAGAGTTTTCTTTATTACATATTGCTGCTGCCCCCAATAAATTAGTTTGAATTTTACGATACTATTCAGCAAAGACTACCCTTCCACTATATATATATATATATATATATATATATATATATATATATATATATATATATATATTATGCTTAATATACTAATTCGATATTTCATAGAATGAATTACCCTTCAGAAACTTCTTCCATGGATATAGCCCCAACATCCAGAATGGACTGTTTATTATTTTCATAATTACTAGTGGACCTGAAAAACCGAAAATAATGATATCCCCAAGTTCACTAAATTACACAATTTATGCGTATTTTATTGAAAAACTAATCCAGATTTTTTTTGGAAAAATCAATACAAAACTCACCTTTTAAATAATGAATTTTTTTGAGCTTTCTTTCGACTACGTCTCTTTTCACTACAAAACAAACGTTTTCCTTTATCAACTCCCTTCGTTTGTTTTATTCTTCCCATAATTACAAAATCACACAAAAACACTGCCGACAATGAACAGAATAAGTCCGCGAAACCGAATTTACAACAGAATAAATAAATGTCTACCTTAATCTAGTCAAAATCACAAAAACAAATAGAAATAAAATCTTTCCGTAGGCTGGAACGCACGACTATGGTGTTACTGGCGGACGGTCGCTTGGTAACTAAATCACTTATTTACCTGTTATTTGGCTACCGCGGCGCCACTAATCAATCGTTGCAAAATGCACTTTTTATTTTACGCCCCAAAGGTTCATTTATCATTATTTACAAATGAAAATTATACCAAAGATTTTAAAAAAAAGCTACACTTTCGGGAAACATATTAATAAAAAAATTGATAAAAATATTTTAAAAATATTAATATGTTCTTCACAATAAAAAAAAATCAAATACTTTCCCGTTAAACAGATTTTTTTTTTAACCGACTATTGAAAATTTCATGAAAATCGGATATGTGATATGGAAATAGAAGGTAAAATCGTTTCAAGTGAGTATGAAGCCCTCTTAATATTTCGTGGCGATAAGTAACGTAGCAAACCTTCAATATTTCTCCAAAAGACAAATTATTACCTAAACACCGCACCTAGAATAATTAGCTAACCAAAAAAATTACAATAATCCAGTAATTAGCGCTTCATCGATTTATTACACAATAGAAAAAGAAACAATGAACAAATTATCATAAAATTTTATTTTATTTTAACACTGCAAATTATCCATTGACAAATTGACACAAATCGATAAATCCCTGCTCACCGGAAAAATACTCTTAAATAGCGAAGCAATAAAGGTCAAAATTCGTAGCAGGTATGAAATTTAAACTATGCCATGAGCATTTACAACGCAATAAAGGTCAAAATCCCTTGTTAAGACACAAACCGGCTTTTTCTCCAAGAAAAAAAATACCTGACAATTAATGAAATTCTAATGCAGCATTTAGCCAACAATCTACCTTAAAGACAAATAAAGAAAACGCTCTACATTACCTATTGCTAAACACTAAACCATTTCACTATAACCACACTTTGATTAAAACTAAACTCTCCGGAGATAAGAAAAGAAAAGATAGAGGTGGGTTGAATTTACCAAATCAAAAAGTACTCCGCGTTTCGATGAACGGTCTTTTATAGTCTCTCACACCCCTCCTCTGACGTAGCGTAGCGTCATCACACATAGAACATTCGAGAAACTTCGAATTAATAATACAGGGTGCACTCGAAAAGTTGCTTCTCAAATATTAAATATAAAAATATGAAATAACAATTTCAATGACTTTAACGATATTTATTATCCTTTATGTTTGAATAATAAATATAAATATACACAAAAAAATAAAATCCTAACGAGTATCCAAATGCTCGTTACATCATAAGGTTTCTTTTTTTGTGCAATTATCTGGGACACACGGTACGATGCTTCAGTTGCAGCCTTATTTTTATTATTATTAATTTCTTTATTTAGCTTTGCTAATACAAAAATAGTACAGTTTTTAAAACAAGTATAGTTTATACATTATGTATAGTGTCTAAAAATGAACAGGAAAAAAAAAACATAAATTATTAGTGTCTAACTATAAAAAATATATATATATATACATGTAAAATATAAAATTAAATTTATATATACAATTAAAATCTCTCTATATCTACAATTAAAATTTTTTTTTTTTTATTTATACCCTTTGTGTCATCATAATATAGTTCTTAAGTTTACATTTAAAATTATTTAATGAGGTAGCATTTTTAATTTCAACTGGTAATTCATTGTAAGCCTGCAGACCCTTGACAAAGACCGAATTTTGGGCACTCCTACTTATAACATGTCGAATATGAAAATTAGTCCGATTTCTTGTATTATAATTGTGAAATTGAAAATTGTAATCTATTTTTTCAAGTAAGTATGAAGGCATCATTTGTAATTTAATTTTAAAAATAAAAATTAATGTTAGGTAAAGAATGTAATTTTTAACTGACATCCACTCAAGATCCTGTAACATTGTTTTTATATGAGTTCTTTTATCACAAGAAAGTATTATCCTCATTGCCCTGTTTTGAAGTTTCTGCAACCTATTCATTTCATTTTGGTTTAGCAAATATAAAATTGTGGCACAATACGTAAAATGGGGCAGAATTAAACTATTATAAAGAAGCTTTAAAGACCATTGGTTAAGAACAATATATTTTATAGCCCTCAATAGATTGATAACCTTTTTTTCTTTCTAAGCAAGAAGGATGAAATATATCTAAACAAACTACACATATTAAATTAGTGCATTTATTATTTTTACAGCATTTAAAATGCCCCCCCATTTTGTTTAACCAATAAGTAGCATCAAATTTTAATTAAATTATAAATCTGTGTTCTAGTTGTAGTAGTCACTGCCAAATAATGTGATGGGTAAGGATGTACATTAATTGCTTATCAGTAGATTTTTTGTTGATGGCGATTATTTCTTGACAAAAAATAAATAAATAGATTATTTTCAGCAACTGAATTTTAGATTTATGCAATTTTGTCCAATTTTTGTCGACTGTTCTTAAAAATATTGATTGTTGTCCAATTAACTGCTTTTTTAACTGTTTCAGTTTCTCCTTTCTGGCGGCAGAATGTAGTGGGAATGATTTTTCAAAATTAGAATGTACAGTTTTATGATGTCTCTCAATATTTCCTTTTTTAGCAACGGAGACCGAAGTATTACATAACAAACACACATTTTTATCTTTAACTTCTGTAAAAAAGTATTGTTCTTTCCATTCCGAATGAAAGTGGTATGTCTTTACCTTAGTACAACTGCTTGCCATCATATTATTTTTTGTTGTTCTCTACTAACCCAACCGCTGGACGTTGGTTACGCGTTCAGTTTTAAACTAAGCGCAATGTCGCCGCGCCGTGCGTATTTATCGCGTTCAAAGCAATCCTGATCGTTCTCTAACACTAACGCGCTGGTCGGTTCTAGCCAATTCTAGCTTGATGGCGTCAGCGGCAGATCGCTCACCGCAACGTTGCCGCTGTTTATGTTTAATATTATGACAATTAGATTTTTTTGTGGAATTTTCGGAAGCTTCTCTTAAAATCGTTGTGAGAGCTACCAGAATTGACTCCGCGAGCTACCGGTAGCTCGCGATCGACACGTTGGCGACCACTGCTTTAGAGGTTAAACAATCTACTCCCTTTTGGTTCCAGATTAAGAAGACCTCTATCTCACACCGAACTCGATGAAAACGCACCGTTTTTACAATACGCCACTTGGTCACCAGATGGCAGCGCAATTGCCTTCATTTACAACAACGATGTCTACTATAAGCCCAAAGTTGAGAAGGACTTAGTCTGCAGGATAACGTACTCTGGTCAAAAAGGAATTATATTTAATGGCGTCCCTGATTGGTTGTATGAAAATTATATTTTAAAGATTTCACACTCTTTATGGTTCTCAACTGATAATACTTATTTACTTTATATAACTTTTAATGACAGTAATGTTGGAGAGTATAAATACCCATGGTATGATACGCATAGTAGTCAACCGATGCTGTATCCGAAGATTAAGTCTTTTAGATATCCAAGGGTAAGTATTAAACATGGAAATTTCAAATATTATTAATAAAATGTTCTTAAAATCTAGTACCAATATCACAAAGGTACTTTTTAAATACAAATTAAATTGTTACAGGTCGAAACTTCCAATCCAGAAGTTTCAGTGTGGATAGTAAATTTAACCACTCCAAAATATTTATTTCCTTTGAAACTAAAACCGACAAATAGTGTAGAATCGGACAGCTACGTTACGAGTGTCAGTTTTCATAGCGAGAACAACGTTGGAATCGTTTGGTTGAATCGAGCCCAAAACACTTATGTTATAGTTACGTGCCAACTACAAAATGGATACAATTGTACAAACGTGAGTATTAAATACTAAAAGCCTACAAACACTTGTATACAGAAGTCCAATACAGCAAGCATATGGCGACAGTCTCAAGGTCTATTCCAGTAATGATCAGACATCAGTATTGTAGAACCGCCAAATTATATACCAAGAAATGTACAGCGATGATTTATTGGAACAGACCCTTTTTTTAGTTTTACACCCTTCAGATCTCCCGTGCTACACCCTAACCCATCTATAGTCTGCAGATATTACATCTTGCACCTTATTGTACCACCAATGATAAATAATTCTTGATAAATTCGTTTAGTGGTCTTCAGTGTATGATGATGGTGTTCCAAGCCTCATCCTTTCTACTTTGATGTTAAAGCTTGTTTCGCACATTTTTTGATAATCCCTTAGTTCTGATCATTTAGATTACTATTTTTGAACTAAATTCGGACTGTATCTTCATTGTTTCCTTCCTATTAGATGCTGCTATTAATTAGTACCAATTTATGAGGGATATGATGAGTTAGATATACAACTAAATCTCTTGGTGTCTATATTTTGAAAGTTTGAATATTTAAAGAACTTTCTCTTTATTACACATTCTAATATTGGCCACTAATCGGCACAGTTCCATATTCCTTGTACAGAGCAGACATGAATTTATCGATTATTTCACAACAGTTAATTTTTGTAACTTCGTTTTAGTTCCACATCGAAAAAGAGCATATAGGCTGGACCGAACCGATCTTTCATCCAGTTTTTAATAAAAATGGCACTAAGGTGATAGTCCGTCTTCCAGTTAAAGATGGCGAAAATGGGCATTTCATGCATGCCTGCGAGATCTTCAATAATCACGTACGGCCTCTTACTCATGGAGCATTTGAGCTAACAAGGATAATAGCATGGGATGAGGAGAATTCAAATATGTAAATTATATTTTAATTAGTTAAATAATAATGTGATATATAATTTTGTTATTTTAGATATGCATTAGGAACAATAGATAATTCTCCCGGAGTCCGCCATCTTATCCGAATAACAGACCACAATTCACCTCAATGGACATGCATGACCTGCAGACCAGAAATCGACTCAAACTCCACCTTGTCTGACGTTCAAAACGAAACAACAATAAACAACAGTCTATGGTTAGACTATCCCTGTGATTATAACAACGTAATATTCAGCAAAAATTATAAGTACTATATTCAAGAGTGCCTTGGACCGGAAATACCGATTGTGCTCTTGGTGAAGACGTCATCGAACACGCGCAGAGCCATTTTGGATATGAGTTTCAAACTCCGAAAAAAAGTTCGAAGATTGGCTCCTCCACAAACGAAAACCATTTCTGTGGAAATTGAGTATGGATTTAAGGCTCAAGTTAGATTGTATCTACCTGGAATCCTTCGGGAATATGAAGATGTGACTTTCCCCATAGTTTTATTAGTGTAAGTTTACTTTAAATATATATATATATATAAATGAATATAAATGAATATAAATGAATATAAATGAATATAAATGAATATAAATGAATATAAATGAATATAAATGAATATAAATGAATATAAATGAATATAAATAAATATAAATGAATATAAATGAATATAAATGAATATAAATGAATATAAATGAATATAAATGAATATAAATGAATATAAATGAATATAAATGAATATAAATGAATATAAATGAATATAAATGAATATAAATGAATATAAATGAATATAAATGAATATAAATGAATATAAATGAATATAAATGAATATAAATGAATATAAATGAATATAAATGAATATAAATGAATATAAATGAATATAAATGAATATAAATGAATATAAATGAATATAAATGAATATAAATGAATATAAATGAATATAAATGAATATAAATGAATATAAATGAATATAAATCAATATAAATCAATAAAAAAATCAATAAAGATCAAGAGAAATTTTGTATTTGTGTATAAATAACGCAATAAAATCTATATGAAATTTTATTCTCCTTTGACAGATTCTTTTTTATAATTTATAAAAAGACAACTATCATAACAACAATGATAAAACAAAACATGCATAGGTTGTGGGTTCGGTTCCATGTTCTATGTCAAGTATGACAACTCGCAATCTTCAAAGACAAACACAACAAGAAATCAATAAAAATTAATACAAATCAATAAAAATCAATAAAAAAAATCAATTAAAATCAATAAAAAAAATTATAAAAAACAATAAAGATCAATAGAAAACAATGGAAATCAATAAATATCAATACAAATCAATAGAAAACAATAAAAATCAATAAAAAATTAATAAAAGACAATAAAAAACCATAAAAAACAAAACACATTAATAAAAAAACAAGAAAAAAAAAATATAAAAAAACAATAAACAATAAAAATCAATAAAAAATCTATAAAATTCAATAAAAATCAATAAAAAATCAATAAAAAACAATAAAAAATCAATAAAAAACTAAACAAAAACAATAAAAATTAATAAAAAATCAATAAAAATCAACAAAATTAACAAAAATTAAAAAAATTAATAAAAATCAATAAAAATTAATAAAAAAATCAATAAATAAACAATAAAAAAACCATAAAGAAACAATAAAAATCAGTAAAATCAATAAAAAAACCAATAAAAAACAAAAAACAATAAAAATCAACAAAATTAACAAAAATAAAAAAACCAATAATAAACAAAAAACAATAAAAATCAATAAAAAAATCTATAAAATTCGATAAAAATCAATAAAAAATCAATAAAAAATCAATAAAAAATCAATAAAAAATCAATAAAAAATCAATAAAAAACGATGAAAAATCAATAAAAATCAACAAAATTACCAAAAATTAATAAAAATCAATAAAAATTAATAAAAATCAATAAAGAAACAATAAAAAACCATAAAAAAACAATAAAAATCAATAAAAATCAGTAAAAATCAATAAAAAAATCAATAAAAATCAATGAAAATCAATAAAAATCAGTAAAAAACAATAAAAAACCATAAAAATCAATAAAAAATCAATGAAAATCAATAAAAAACAATAAAAAAATCAATAAAAATCAATAAAAAATCTATAAAATTCGATAAAAATCAATAAAAAACAAAAAAAATCATAAAAAACAATAAAACTCAATAAAAAATCAATAAAAATCAACAAAATTAACAAAAAATTTAAAAAATTAATAAAAATCAATAAAAATTAATAAAAAATCAATAAAGAAACAATAAAAAACCCTAAAAAAAAAACAATAAAAATCAGTAAAATCAATAAAAAATCAATAAAAATCAATAAAATTCAATAAAAATCAATAAAAATCAATAAAAAATCAGTAAAAAACAATAAAAAATCAATAAAAAACAATAAAAAATCAATAAAAATCAATAAAAAATCAATAAAAAATCAGTAAAAAATAATAAAAAATCAATAAAAAAACAATAAAAAATCAATAAAAATCAATAAAAATCAATAAAAATCAATAAAAAATCAATAAAAAATCAGTAAAAAACAATAAAAAATCAATAAAAAACAATAAAAAACCATAAAAATCAATAAAAAATCAATAAAAATCAATAAAAATCAATAAAAATCAATAAAAAATCTATAAAATTTGATAAAAATCGATAAGAAATCAATAAAAAGTAACAACAATTAATAAAAATTAATATTTTTTTTATTAGTGACGCCGCACCGTCTTCCCAAACCGTATCTTCCAAATGGGAACTCTCCTGGCCATGGTACTTGGCTAGTACCAGAAACTACATAGTCGCTCAGATCGATGCCAGAGGCTCGGGATATCAGGGTATAAAAATGCGAAGAGAAATCCAACGCAGAATCGGTCTCATAGAAGTACAAGATCAGTTAGCCGTCTTGACCTATCTCAGGGACACTTTCAAATTTATCGATAGAAGCAAAATTTGCGTTATCGGAAAGGGATACGGAGGTTATGTTGCAGCCATGTTGATGCTGCAGGATTTTCATCAAGTTATCAATTGTTCTGTTAGTGTAGCTCCGATTACGAATTGGAGATATTTTAGTAAGTGTTTTTAGTTCCTTTTAAAGATAACTCCTAGATTTTGGTTCAAAATTCCCTACCAGAAGGATTTTATCTTAAATTAACTATTAGGTTATTATTGTTTTCCGTGAAGGTAGAGAATGGGGGGAGATTGTGGTACCAAAGCGGTGGACTGTTGGTGTCACTCCTATCGAATTTTCAAAAAAGGGAGAGGAAGGAGTATGTAGTACCTTCCCTTATGGTTCTATTAATTATTTGCACAATATTATATTCAACTATTTATGATTTTAACGAGCTAAATATGTTCTGGACATAATGACATTAATTTAGGTCATGTTAAAAAAAATAGAGAAAGTAAATGAGAGTAACAACCCAATTATGTAAATAAATATTCGCAGTATACATACAAATGTGCACTATTTAACATTTTAAAAATATTATGATAATTTTAAATTGTTTTCAATGCATTAATAAGTTAAAACAATCTCCACATTACTTTTGCATATCAAAAAATTGTCAAGGTTTTAGTTTTTTAAATTGTTAGTGAGCGTTTATTTGCTTTTCGTTCAGGTACATATTGTTTCAATAATAAATGAGCCATTATTGGGATTATTTAAAACATATAAAGGATGCAGGTAAAAAAAATAGATATCGAAATAAATGAATTTAAAAATTTGTTATATCTAAAAATCGAAGTCGAAAAAATTGAAAAATTGAAAAATCGAAAAATCAAAAAATCTAAAAAATCGAAAAAATCAAAAAAATCAAAAAATCTAAAAAATTGAACAGTCGAAAAAATCAAAAAATCATAAGTCGAAAAATTGAAAAAATCGAAAGTCGAAAAATTGAAAAGTCGAAAAAATCGAAAAATAAAAAAATAAAAAACATCAAAAAATCGAAAAAATCGAAAAAATCGAAAAATCAAAAAATCAAAAAAATAAAAAAATCGAAAAAATAAAAAAAAAAAATCAAAAAATTGAAAGTCGAAAAATCAAAAAAATCGAAAGTCGAAAAAAAAAATCAAAAAAATAAAAAACATCAAAAAAATCGAAAAATCGAAAAATCAAAAAATGAAAAAATCAAAAAATCGAAAAATCAAAGAATCAAAAAAATTAAAAAAATTAAAAAAAAACAAAAAAAATTGAAAGTCGAAAAATCGAAAAATCAAAAAAATAAAAAACATCAAAAAAATCGAAAAATCAAAAAAAGAAAAAATCAAAAAATAAAAAAAAAATCAAAAAATCAAAAAAATCGAAAGTCGAAAAATCAAAAAAATAAAAAACATCAAAAAATCGAAACAATCGAAAAATCAAAAAAATAAAAAAAAAATCGAAAAAATCGAAAGTCAAAAAAAAAATCAAAAAAATAAAAAACATCAAAAAAATCGAAAAATCAAAAAATGAAAAAATCAAAAAATCAAAAAATCAAAGAATCAAAAAAATCAAAAAAATTAAAAAAAACAAAAAAAATTGAAAGTCGAAAAATCAAAAAAAAATAAAAAACATCAAAAAAATCGAAAAATCAAAAAATGAAAAAATTAAAAAATCAAAGAATCAAAAAAATCAAAAAAATCAAAAAAATCAAAAAATTAAAAAAAAATCAAAAAATCGAAAGTCGAAAAATCAAAAAAATAAAAAACATCAAAAAATCGAAAAAATCGAAAAATCAAAAAAATAAAAAAAAAATCTAAAAAATCGAAAACCGAAAAATCAAAAAATCTAAAAAATTGAACAGTCGAAAAAATCAAAAAATCATAAGTCGAAAAATTGAAAAAATCGAAAGTCGAAAAATTGAAAAGTCGAAAAAATCGAAAAATCGAAAAATAAAAAACATCAAAAAATCGAAAACCGAAAAATCAAAAAAAATCAAAGAATCAAAAAAATAAAAAAATCGAAAAAATAAAAAAAAAATCAAAAAATCGAAAGTCGAAAAATCAAAACAATAAAAAAATCAAAAAAATCAAAAAATCAAAAAAATAAAAAAAAATTAAAAAAAATCAAAAAAATCGAAAGTCGAAAAAAAAAAAATCAAAAAAATTAAAAACATCAAAAAAATCGAAAAATCAAAAAATGAAAAAATCAAAAAATCGAAAAATCAAAGAATCAAAAAAATCAAAAAATTAAAAAAAAAACAAAAAAAATTGAAAGTCGAAAAATCGAAAAATCAAAAAAATAAAAAACATCAAAAAAATCGAAAAATCAAAAAATGAAAAAATCAAAAAATCGAAAAATCAAAGAATCAAAAAATTAAAAAAAAAAAAAAAAAGCAAAAAAATCGAAAGTCGAAAAATCAAAAAAATAAAAAACATCAAAAATCGAAAAAATCGAAAAATCAAAAAAATAAAAAAAAAAAATCAAAAAAATCGAAAAATTGAAAAAATCGAAAAGTCGAAAAATCCAAAAAATCAAAGTCCAAAAATCGAAAAGTCGAAAAAATTAAAAAATCGAAAAATCAAAAAATCTAAAAAATCGAAAAATTGAACAGTCGAAAAAAATAAAAAAATAAAAAACATCAAAAAACCGAAAAATCAAAAAAAATCAAAATCAAAAAAATAAAAAAATCGAAAAAATAAAAAAAAAATCAAAAAAATCGAAAGTCGAAAAATCAAAATAATAAAAAAATCAAAAAATCAAAAAAATAAAAAAAAATCAAAAAAATCGAAAGTCGAAAAAACGAAAAATCAAAAAAATAAAAAACATCAAAAAATCGAAAAATCAAAAAATGAAAAAATCAAAAAATCGAATAATCGAAAAATCAAAGAATCAAAAAAAATCAAAAAATTAAAAAAAAAACAAAAAAAATTGAAAGTCGAAAAATCAAAAAAATAAAAAACATCAAAAAAATCGAAAAATAAAAAAATGAAAAATCAAAAAATCGAAAAATCAAAGAATCAAAAAAATAAAAAAATTAAAAAAACAAAAAAAATCAAAAAAATCGAAAGTCGAAAAATCGAAAAATCAAAAAAATAAAAAACATCAAAAAATCGAAAAAATCGAAAAATCAAAAAAAATTTAAAAAAAATCGAAAAATTAAAAAATCGAAAAAATTGAAAAATCAAAAAAATAAAAAACATCAAAAAAATCGAAAAATCAAAAAAAGAAAAAATCAAAAAATAAAAAAAAAATCAAAAAATCAAAAAAATCGAAAGTCGAAAAATCAAAAAAATAAAAAACATCAAAAAATCGAAACAATCGAAAAATCAAAAAAATAAAAAAAAAATCGAAAAAATCGAAAGTCAAAAAAAAAATCAAAAAAATAAAAAACATCAAAAAAATCGAAAAATCAAAAAATGAAAAAATCAAAAAATCAAAAAATCAAAGAATCAAAAAAATCAAAAAAATTAAAAAAAACAAAAAAAATTGAAAGTCGAAAAATCAAAAAAAAATAAAAAACATCAAAAAAATCGAAAAATCAAAAAATGAAAAAATTAAAAAATCAAAGAATCAAAAAAATCAAAAAAATCAAAAAAATCAAAAAATTAAAAAAAAATCAAAAAATCGAAAGTCGAAAAATCAAAAAAATAAAAAACATCAAAAAATCGAAAAAATCGAAAAATCAAAAAAATAAAAAAAAAATCTAAAAAATCGAAAACCGAAAAATCAAAAAATCTAAAAAATTGAACAGTCGAAAAAATCAAAAAATCATAAGTCGAAAAATTGAAAAAATCGAAAGTCGAAAAATTGAAAAGTCGAAAAAATCGAAAAATCGAAAAATAAAAAACATCAAAAAATCGAAAACCGAAAAATCAAAAAAAATCAAAGAATCAAAAAAATAAAAAAATCGAAAAAATAAAAAAAAAATCAAAAAATCGAAAGTCGAAAAATCAAAACAATAAAAAAATCAAAAAAATCAAAAAATCAAAAAAATAAAAAAAAATTAAAAAAAATCAAAAAAATCGAAAGTCGAAAAAAAAAAAATCAAAAAAATTAAAAACATCAAAAAAATCGAAAAATCAAAAAATGAAAAAATCAAAAAATCGAAAAATCAAAGAATCAAAAAAATCAAAAAATTAAAAAAAAAACAAAAAAAATTGAAAGTCGAAAAATCGAAAAATCAAAAAAATAAAAAACATCAAAAAAATCGAAAAATCAAAAAATGAAAAAATCAAAAAATCGAAAAATCAAAGAATCAAAAAATTAAAAAAAAAAAAAAAAAGCAAAAAAATCGAAAGTCGAAAAATCAAAAAAATAAAAAACATCAAAAATCGAAAAAATCGAAAAATCAAAAAAATAAAAAAAAAAAATCAAAAAAATCGAAAAATTGAAAAAATCGAAAAGTCGAAAAATCCAAAAAATCAAAGTCCAAAAATCGAAAAGTCGAAAAAATTAAAAAATCGAAAAATCAAAAAATCTAAAAAATCGAAAAATTGAACAGTCGAAAAAAATAAAAAAATAAAAAACATCAAAAAACCGAAAAATCAAAAAAAATCAAAATCAAAAAAATAAAAAAATCGAAAAAATAAAAAAAAAATCAAAAAAATCGAAAGTCGAAAAATCAAAATAATAAAAAAATCAAAAAATCAAAAAAATAAAAAAAAATCAAAAAAATCGAAAGTCGAAAAAACGAAAAATCAAAAAAATAAAAAACATCAAAAAATCGAAAAATCAAAAAATGAAAAAATCAAAAAATCGAATAATCGAAAAATCAAAGAATCAAAAAAAATCAAAAAATTAAAAAAAAAACAAAAAAAATTGAAAGTCGAAAAATCAAAAAAATAAAAAACATCAAAAAAATCGAAAAATAAAAAAATGAAAAATCAAAAAATCGAAAAATCAAAGAATCAAAAAAATAAAAAAATTAAAAAAACAAAAAAAATCAAAAAAATCGAAAGTCGAAAAATCGAAAAATCAAAAAAATAAAAAACATCAAAAAATCGAAAAAATCGAAAAATCAAAAAAAATTTAAAAAAAATCGAAAAATTAAAAAATCGAAAAAATTGAAAAATCAAAAAAATAAAAAACATCAAAAAAATCGAAAAATTGAAAAGTCGAAAAAATCGAAAAATCAAAAAAATCGAAAAAATAAAAAAAAAACGAAAAAATCTAAAAAATTGAAACATTGAAAAATGCTATGCAATAGCTTTACCGCGGCAGTCTCACAAGTGCCACACAAGTATTTTTTTTATTCTTAAAGAAAGGAAAATGTTTTAGTTAAGACGTTTGCATCATTAAAATATCCCAACTCTTCAAAAAAATTAATATTCTTCTTGTAATGCAACATCAATCTAGAACACAATGTACCATTTCAATTATAAATATTAAAACAAACATTTTATTTATAAAAAATTTCTATTTCAGATTCTTATTACGCTGAAAAATATCTGGGCTTCCCCTCACGACATTTACAGGAATACGACAATGCAGACTTAACTTTGAAGGCGTCAAATTTAAATGGACGCAACTTTTTGTTAATTCACGGGACAGCTGATACGGAAATTACGTTGCAACATTCTCTGATGCTCGCCAAAGCTTTGATAGAACAAAATATACTATTCCAACAACTGGTAAGTATATACATATATATTCATGCCTCTATCAATATCGCATCCTCTGCAAAGATCTGTCCGTACATCGGACGCAAGTATATATATTTTGAAAATGAGTAACATCAGAGATTCTTCAGTTGTTTTATATCCCATTTTCAATCAAATACCCTATATTTACCAATCATTTTATTTTCCTGCAGGAATATCCTGATGAAGGGCATAATTTCAGAAACAAAGCGTTACTTCACATGTACAAAGAAATCGATCTATTCTTCAACGATTCTTTCGGACCTAGTTATCAAGATTGGAGCGACGAAACTTCCTTTTTTATATAATTTCTTTAACAAAAATAACTTCGGACCATTCAAAATATCAAAAGTTTTAATATTTTTATTAATATATAAAATTTAACAATGTTGCTCTTACAAGAGTCTCGGAAATGCAAGCTGTGAATTTTTTAGATAGAAATTATCAACTGATGGGTATTGCTTTATAAAACTATTGATATATTTATTAAATTTCAATGATATTATCATTTATTACTGACAAATTAAAAAAATATCACATTAAAGTAAAGTAAAGTAACACATTAAAGTAACACGTTAAAGTAACACATTAAAGTAACACATTAAAATAACACATTAAAGTAAAGTAACTCATTAAAGTAACACATTAAAATAACACATCAAAATAACACATTAAAGTAAAGTAACTCATTAAAGTAACACATTAAAGTAAAGTACCTCATTAAAGTAACACATTAAAGTAACTCATTAAAGTAAAGTAACATTAAAATAACACATTAAAGTAACACATTAAAGTAAAGTAACTCATTAAAGTAACACATTAAAGTAAAGTAAAACATTAAAATAACACCTTAAAATGACAGATATTAAGATAACACAATAAATAACAGATTAAAATAACACATTAAAGTAAAGTAACTCATTAAAGTAACACATTAAAGTAAAGTAATTCATTAAAGTAACACAGTAAAATAACACATTAAAATAAAGTAACTCATTAAAGTAACACATTAAAATAACACATTAAAGTAATTCATTAAAGTAAAGTAACATTAAAATAACACATTAAAGTAACACATTAAAGTAACACATTAAAGTAAAGTAACTCATTAAAGTAAAACATTAAAATAACACATTAAAATGACAGATATTAAGATAATACAATAAATAACAGATTAAAATATTAAAATAACAAGTAACAATTGTAATAAATTTAATTTGTCTATAAGAAAACTCACATAATTTTAAATAACAATTAATTCCAAATTAGGAACATAAATTTACAATATCCTTAGTTTTATAAAGTGGTTCTTTTATTATAAATAAATCGTCCATTTCAACCGATGAAAAAAAATTAATATTTTTAAGACGGAAAATAAAATATTGTGATAAATTTTTGGACTTATTAAATACCAAAATGTCTATCTACAATTTTAGTAACTGTAGAATTTCTCTTCACTACATTACCATAAAAAACATTTTATCAAATATCTAAGGTTAAAAAATGTACCTTATTATAAATAATTGCTATTAAAATATTTTGTTGCTCTGGTACCATAACTTGGACTCAACGAAGAATATAAAAATCAATGCTCAACAGATTCCAATTGATATTTCTTACCAGGGAAGCTTTCAGCTTAATAAGGTACCTTGAAATTCTCTTTTTTTCCATAGTCCTCAGAATCATCACCCAGTTTGCAGTATTAAAAGCATTTTTTATGTCCAATAATACTAGTACTACCAATTTTTGCATCGTGTTTCTTATTTTTTTCTACCACACAATAGACTTCGTTCACTGTGGATCTACCTGTTCGAAATCCATATTTGGAGTCTGACAGTCCACTCTTTTATTTTTCTATTCTTTTTCTAAGCATGCTTTCGATTATCTTACAAATTACATTTATAATACATATTGGCATATAACAGAAAGGTTCTTCTATAAGTTTCCCAATCTACCGGACTATAATTCATTTGGGAATTCCTGATTCCTTAAAAATTATTCATTGAGTACAGTAGGCACTGTGTCTGGCACTTCATTCAGCACAATATTCATTCCTTGAATTGTCTAGAACTGTCTTGAATTGTACTGAATTGTCTTGAATTGTCTTGAATTGTCTTGAATTGTCTTGAATTGTCTTGAATTGTCTTGAATTGTCTTGAATTGTCTTGAATTGTCTTCAATTGTCTTCAATTGTCTTCAATTGTCTTCAATTGTCTTCAATTGTCTTCAATTGTCTTCAATTGTCTTCAATTGTCTTCAATTGTCTTCAATTGTCTTCAATTGTCTTGAATTATCTTCAATGGTCTTCAATTGTCTTCAATTGTCTTCAATTGTCTTCAATTGTCTTCAATTGTCTTCAATTGTCTTCAATTGTCTTCAATTGTCTTCAATTGTCTTCAATTGTCTTCAATTGTCTTCAATTGTCTTGAATTGTCTTCAATTGTCTTCAATTGTCTTCAATTGTCTTCAATTGTCTTCAATTGTCTTCAATTGTCTTCAATTGTCTTCAATTGTCTTGAATTATCTTCAATGGTCTTCAATTGTCTTGAATTGTCTTGAATTGTCTTGAATTGTCTTGAATTGTCTTGAATTGTCTTGAATTGTCTTGAATTGTCTTGAATTGTATTGAATTGTCTTCAATTGTCTTTAATTGTCTTTAATTGTCTTTAATTGTCTCCAATTGTCTTCAATTATTTTTATTGTGTTTAATTGTCATTAATTGTCTTGAATTGTCTGTCTTGAATTGTCTGTCTTGAATTATCTGTCTTGAATTGTCTGTCTTGAATTGTCTTCAATATGTCTTCATCTAACTCCTTACACAATTTCATCCAGTTTTCTTTTCTTTTTTTAATTTGTTTATCAGCTTTTTGAGTTCTCGTTTAATAACGGAATAAATTATGAAAAGGGAAATTTTTAAATTTTCAGATTTAAGACAGGCAAACGTATTTAAGATTATTTGTTGAACTTGAATATGTAAGTCCTGATTTTTTAATTCCTAAAATTGTGCATCACCTTGATTGTCATTAGTATTTTTTCTTATCTCTTAAAAATAGTTTTGATATTTGATAAAATGTTTTTTAGTTATGAAACATTCAAAATGTAAAAAAATATATTTTAATCAAACTTTAAAACTTGTATATACAGGGTATTCACGTAACAGCTTACCAATGAAAATAATTTTTTTATAAAAATACACTTCTTATCTTAAAAAATAAGATTAAAAGAATCACCCTGTATATTTTAAATAAATTTCAAAATTAAAATCGATCTTGACAAACTGAAAATGAATATTTTTTTACCAAATAAAAAAAAAACAAACTTTTAAAATGTTAAATAAACTTATGTGTAACTAAATAATGAATGTATTTCTGTTTAGTCTACTACTAGACTATTATAATATATTCCCAGTTGTATTACTGTAATTTTCAAAAAAAAATTTAATCCTACGTGTCTACTGAAACAAGAAAGTAATTCTATATGAAAATTTATTCAAAATTATATCCTAATATGAAAGAAATTTTAAATTTTGTTTGTCTTTAATATTATTGATAATAGAAGGTAAATAATTTAGTTATTATTTAACACGTTAACAGCCAAGCAAAAAATAGCAATGTAGTGTCAAATATATTTTATTAAATAAGTTTTAATACACTTAAATGTTATAAAAACACTTTGACGTTGACAGGTGACAGGAAAAAATGGTGCGTATTCGAATCTATGGTGAAAATTAGGTATAATCTTTTTATTCTTTATAGAAATTTTCAAAACGTTTAGTGTTTAAATGAATTCTACATTTTTGACTAACAAAGATAGGAATAAAGTTTTTTTTATCAGGAATAAATAGTTTTTTAAAAACTAAAACTTTTTCTTGTATACATTTTTTTTGGAAAAGACTGCAATGGATGGAATAATTTTTTAAAATGTGGAGGTTCTCAATTAGTCGTAATATTTTTTTTTTGTATGTTCAGCGATAATTCATTAAGAGGTTGTTAGAAAGGGGGTAAATTTGGCCAGAGTGATAATTTTTTTATGTATATTTAGCGTTCATTCATACCACCTTGTTCGATGTGGTGATGGCATCTGCACGATTTTGAAGTTTAATTAGGCTTTTTGGAAAATTAACTTGTAGATGGTCCTACATCTATTACATCTTTAGTAACAATCTCAAAAGTACTGGCTATTTAATTTAATTCAAACAATAATTATTATTATTTTCATAAAGGAAATAATTTTGAATTAATTTCATATTAAAAAGAGTGGGACACTTAAAAATTCCATTCCCCCTTATCTTCGTTATTCATTGACATATCAAAATAATTTTTGTTCTATTTGAAAGATTGGAACAAATATTTTCTTATGATGCATTCAATTAATCTGTGACGTCATGACTTACTTCCGGTTTTCCGAAAATAATAGAAAGAGGCAATTTATTTTTTATTTTTAAATTGAAAGTCACTTTTTTTATTGTAAATTTGAATTTCTAGGATAATCGTGTATTGGAATCTTTCTGACAGCTGTCAAAATGGTCGCCATATTGGATGATATTTTTTCTATACATGTTAGTATTAATTTATTTATGGAAGAAATATTTGAATGTGAGCTTTATTAAATTATTGTAAGCTTCAAAATTTCTATTAAGATTTACTTACAGTACAGCAGTGGCGTATCTAAGCAATTTTCTTAAAAAATTTAACTTTTTATAATAAAGCTCAAGTTTAAAATTTGGCGTTTTCTTCTTTATCCGTTTTTGAGTTTTATTCAAAATTCGAAATTTGCACATTTTCCAAAATTTCTCGAATACGGACCATTTTGGGAAAATTTTATAAGAAACAAAAATTTTAGAGCATAATATAAGAAGTAACTTTTATTAGAAAGAATTTTCTTCTCCAAACGTAAATAACAGAAATATTCCATAAAATATAAAAATTAAGTACCCCCTCAGATGTTCCGACTCTTCTTATATAAAAACGTCCCAGAAATTTAAATTTACAATAAAAAAAGTCGGTTTCAATTTAAAAATAAAAAATAAATTGCGATTTTCTGTTATTTCCGGAAAAACCGGAAGTATACCATAACGTTACAAAATAATTGAATCTACCACAAGAAAGTACTTGTTCCAGCCTTTCAAACAAAAATTAAATTATACCGATATCTCAATTGATAACAAAGATACGGGGGAGTGAAACTTTTAAGTGGCTCACACTTATATTTATTAAAAAAAAAAAAAATAGGAAATTATACTTAAAAAATACAAAACTTATGATTATACATATTTATTATAGATAAAATAATGTACCTAAATGAAAAT